TCTTAATATGGGTTTCTGGTATCTGAACTTCCAGGAATACCTAGATTGAAGATTCGAAATTATTACTGTTGCCCATCAGAGCTGAATCCACCTTAGTCTGGCCAGGACTAAGGCTTCCTGGCTCTCTCCGGGTATGAGTAACATCTGCTGTTGATGGTCTCGTTGCGGTTCTCTCCCGATTTTTGTTCTGCATCAGAATTGATGCTCGACGCGATGGTTCTCCACCTGTTATTTGGTTGTGATCGATAGTGCTTCAAATTGCTTGGAACCGAAAAATCATTTCTCTGCGAGGGAAATAAAGTCAGAACCTGATCAAAGCAGCCAGTGGTCTTCAGGAATACCATTGAAACATAGTTGTGGGAAGAATACGTACCTTCTGATTTAATGGCCCAGTCACCACAGTGGCACAGGAAGGTCTGCATCATCTATTCGGAATCTTCTGAATATTCGCTCCCTTCTGAATCTTCTGGGGCGAACCGACTCGTAAGATTAATCATCGATCTTCTAGGATTATAAACATATCCTGCCTGTTTTGCTGTTAGGTTAAAATCCCATCTTCCTTTTTTAACAGGTGCCGGAATAGCTACTGCAGCAGGTGCTGGAGCAGATGGTGGGAGAGGTACAGGGAGAGGTGCTGGGAGAGTTGCTGGGAGAGGTGCTGAGAGAGGTGCTGGGAGAGGTGCCGGTGCCGGTGTAGGTGCTGGCGTAATAGAGTCGGCATCTTTTTCAATCGAGTCTATGAGAATGTCACACTCTTTAACAACATCAGCAAGATAATCTTCGATCTCGGCTACTTCCTCATCATCGGCTGCTTTTTGAATGGCAGCCAACTCTTCGGTGGTGATATTGGGCTCACCGTAGTTGTGAGATATGAAGAATGGTGTCTATGATGTGTTAGCAAAGACATTACGACTTGATGATGAGGAGGAGATTGATTACCTTGCGACCTTCAAACAAGACATAAGATGCCCCTCTATCCTTCACCATCTCATACTTCTGTTCGAGTTGGTACATCTTCTCCTCCAAGTCGTCATGTCTTGCACAAGAATCCATATACTTCTGCTTATACTTTTTGACTCGAGCTCCCTTGGATCTAATCTTTCTCTTCATTGCGGCAGCAAACTCGGGTCGTATATCAACTTCAGGTCGACGAAGAAATTCTTCCTTTCCTCTGGCTTGCTCGCGAAGGTGTTCTTCCCGAAGTGCACCTTCGAGACGAAGCTTTTCGCTTTCCTCAAGCTTTGCTTTCAATGCTGCTATCTCGGCATCTTTCTGTTGCAAGAGTAAGACAACGGCAGGATCTTCTCTTCCCTCTGAGATGAGAAATTCTGAAGAAGCGGGAGATTGGGTGTCCTGAGCCACAGGATCAACTATACGACCACCGTTGGCTAGACGGGGAAGCGGAGTGTAGGTGTCAAGGTTGTCGGATAAATGGTTAGTAGGGACGGTGTCAGTTGTATTATTGACGCGAGAGCTGGTAAACCGCAATGGCTTTGATGGTGCGACTTTTCGTGGAGATATTGGTGCCTTGGGAGGAGAAAAGGGTGACCTTTCACGCTTGGTAAATTTGACGCGTTTGGTGGGTTGTTCTTCTTCATTTCCAATATACCCATGGCTACGCTTGAGGCTCAAAGAGCTTGAGGCGTCCATGGTAGAAGAACTAAAAGATGAGGTACAAGGAGCAGAGGAAGTCATTGTGAAGAAATGTATTGATTGATGGGTAAATAAAGGGAGAAGGCAAGATATGATGTCAAGTATTTTCTTTTGAGAATAGACAAATGATGCTTCACAAAATAAATGTCGAAAGCTGGATGTGTTGTAAATGTAAAATTGGTCGCTGAAAAGTAGACGGATTTCACGTTGCAAGAAACTTGTAGATTGAAAGTTTTCAAAAGTACGAGAGATATTAGATCGAAGATTTCATGTCAGCCACAATACCAAACGATACGGCGCTAGTAATTCCACGAATCATTTAATTGAACGGACAATAGAATCAAATTTCATTTTCACTACTGTATGAGTGAATTCGATGTCGACGTCTAAGCGAAGTTTTTGATCCTATTGTTGAGGCGACCACCAAGAAGTACGGCAATAGGAGAGAGGATAGAAATTACCCCACATACTCTTCTGTGCCCCTAGGTACTCATAATAACGACCTCAATCTCCAGCTTATCACGAGAGAGTCTTTTGAGAGACCCATAAAATGTAGGGTCCCAGAATCTAAATGGAAACCTTTGGTTCAATAGGTAGATTGTAACAAAGTGGCATTTCAGGTTAGTATGAAAAAAGATGATTCGAGTCCATACCTAATTGAACCTTCCTTCCTTTACAAGCAGGTTTACTGTAATTAGTTTGTAGCCAATGACCATCAAGACTGATAGGTATGGCATGATACTCCAGCTAAGCTAACTTCTACCTTAATAAGGTTGTTTGGATTTTAGATCGAGACTCACGTACCTAGCGTTAGCGGCTAGCCTCGTCACTAATGAGCCCTAGATTTCTACCTATCTACCTATCCATACCTAATTGGGCCAACTTTGTCCCATTTGCATCAACTGGCCCAAACTCCCCTTGCACGGTCCACTCCCAAATTTCTATATAAGACTTACTACTCTCCCTCTTTTTCCATCCTTCAAGTCTCTCGCGTCCCACAGTAAGTTTGAGGTATATGAGCGAGGCTGCCCACAAGCAATAATAATGCTAAATTTAATACCTATTATGAGTACATACATTTGATGTTTTAACATCTCATATTCATAAGAGATAGAGGCACTGGTGGGTTAGGTACTTATAACTAATTTGAACTCCAGCCACCTAGTATACATTCCATCGCAGAATCGAACATGTGAGCAAGCGCAAACATAACATCCAATCACCCAAGCACATTTAAGTCATTTACCAACGCACCAAACCCATATGTTGAATTTAGATTCCCCCGTGACTCCCCGATTTGAATTAATTGCGTAGATTGCTATGAATACATCAAACCCAATGTACTTCGCTATTGCTTCTATATCATCAAATCATGGAAAACTGTTTGGTCAGGAGGGTTATTCAATCAGGCAGAAGGTTTGATATGTTATTTTCGGAAATGATCAATAAAGACAAGCATCATTACCTACTAGGTATGTTTGCCCAACAATAGCAAGAGAGGGACTTGCAGAAGTTGAAAGCATAGCATCCTCCGACTTACGATATAGATGAGAATAGGTAAAATGTTGAATACTGTAATTTGATTTCTGGGAATCATGTACTGCGAATGATAATTATAATTAGTACAAGTAGAGTATCTCGGATTCAAGGAAACCGATAATAATACAAGTAGAGTATGAAAGTTTCATTCAGGATATGGAAGCCGAGAATGGGTACCAGAAAGTTCTTACCCAGGCCAACAAAGTAGCCAATTCTTTTTAAAAAATATATGGGTTAATGATATAATTAGTAGAAAGACTAGAATCAAAGCCCCGATATTTTGGTGCTAATAGTTTAGCTGTGAAATTCTTCCATAACTTCTTTGACAAGATAGGCGTCTTTAAATAGACTTGTAGAGTTCTAGGGGTACTCATGGTCCGATTAGTTGGTTTTTGACTAGGCAAGAAAGATGCAAAAATGTTGGGTACAAATTAGTCAAACGCGGTTCTGCTGGTGATCATTTTTTCACAAGTATGAATGCACGGAACCAGTTGGATTAATATTTTGAATTTCCATAGCGAGTCTCCAGCTACAGCATCATTCTCTCCACGAGAGGTCCAATAAAATTCCATCTTGACGGTATTTTTGCTCATCTTTTCGAGGAGCTCTCACCCTAACCTATTCTCCTGTTGAATGATGTTCTCCATCCATGTAGTGATTCCACCCCATTCTCCCAGACTCCACCCCATTAAACAAACCAATGAGGTCCAAACCATTATCTCACATTGAACGAGACATCCAATTGGCAGTTAAAAGCGACAAGCACAGCTTCCAAGCACAACAGCCATTATCTCTACCAGTATCATCTCTATCCGCATCATCAGAGAAGACACCCTTCGATTGTTGCTTCTGCCCCAAGCCATTGGTATCCATTGACATCTCACTTCTACGTTTACCCGTCGGTTCTTTTTGATCCAGAGGATCTTCCATATAAAGAGGCTCCCAGGTGGGGATGTGTGAGCGACGTTCCTGGCTGCCCGATGAATCGAGACGAGGCATATGCATGGTATTGAAAGGTGTGAGATTAGATTCTCGGTTGGAGCGATATGGGGTAAAGGATGAATCGCGGACCCATGGCTTACTTTCTCGTCGAGGGTATCGATTGGCTTGTTGAGACTCATAATCGTAGGGGTTATCTTCAGAGGATTTAGAATTAGAGCGATGGCCTTGGAGGATCATCATCGTGAATAGTTGATGCGGGCGACTTGGTTGTGTAGTTTGAATGGTAAGATCGGGCTCGAAAGTTTGATGTGAGAGAAGAACTTTTAACCAACAGATTTGTAGAGAGCCTGATAAGTTAGACCTTAGAGTACAAATTGAAAGGCATGGGAAAGGAGATCAACCTTTTCAACCAATATTCATACCGTATCAATAATTGTATCATGCAAAAGATTCAACAGTGGAGTATGAATTATTTTGTGTTATAAGATACAAAGACTACTTTCATATTTGAAATAAGAAACCAAATCAAGTATTGGTAGCAGGTCCCAACTTTGGGAAACTACTACTAGTGGTTATCATGGCCAGTAGAGGAAAGCGCTCCACGGAGAGTCTAGATACAATGTATAAGTATTCTTTAAGTCCACTTGGAGTAAAGAACAACCGTTTAATCGACTGATGGGAAACAAATAGTTCTTCTTTAGCATTTGCACTTCAAATCCTCAATTCGATATTGAAGCACGGATATGATTAATAAGGTATCCACCCATTTGACTCCACAAATCCCCACCCTTACTACAAAATAATAAATATATTTTCAAACATTCTACCTCCAGACAAGAATTCAAGCAAATAACCCAGCTTCTTCAGCTTCTATAGTCCAATGGTTAGGATTCCACCCTTCCAAGGTGGAGGTCGGCGTTCGATTCGCCGTGGTTGCATATAATTTTTCTGGCTTTTCTTGACAATGAATTTTTGATAGTCAAGATTCCGGTTATTTTTTCCAGAATTTTTGCTTGTAAATTTTACATCTTGGTGTTGGTCTGTCGAAGACGTGTTGATTTTTCACCCATCTCGCACCCGAATCAACCCTAATTAGGGTCTTCAGAATTACGTTTGAAACACCCTGTTTAGGGTCAAAATACAAATTAGAAATTTCTATATAACCTACACCTTATATTTAGTTTAAAATAGCTTTATATTGAAACATATTAAATATATAAATTTTATATTAATCGATAAAGCTTTTTGAGGGTTTTTGATTGGTATAATTTATATTATAATCGGAGTTAGCGTTTAGGTTCTATATTAGATTGAAATGATTATATAAATTATAAGATTATAGAGATATATGTTTATATAAGTATACGAATTTATATAAGTATATAATTTATATAAGTATATAAACTTATATAAGTATATGTGCCTATAATGCACGTGCCCAGGGGCCCTAATACTATCATTTTTGTAAAATTTTATAATTAGTACAGATCACTAACATTTTATTTAAATTTAATAAAAGATATATTAATCGAAAGTTTTAATCGTATTTTATAATTTGATATCAATTTTATATATCTTATTGTTGGAATCACTATGGGCGATGGAGAACAAATGTACTATAGTATGCAGTGTATTTGGCTCGAAGCTCTAAAAACTATGCTACAGATCAACTATATATGCCCGCTAGCGCATGCTAGCGCCGTAGCGCGGGGGTGCCGCAAGCGGCACGCCGCGGCCGTGCGCGGCGCATGCGCAAGCGTGCCGTAGGCACGTGATTTATCCAACACTTATAAATAATTTGAAGGTTTTATATTGATTTTAATATATTAATATAATAAAAGCATAATCTCATTTATATATAATTTTCAAAATACTATATTGTTAATGTTGTAATATTTTAAAAAATATTAAAGGTTTAAAATATTATGATATTGGTGATGTAATATTTTAAAATTTTATAAAAAATACAGATCGCTAACCCCTTATTCAAATTTAATAAAAAATATATCAATTAAAAGTTTTAATTGTATTTTATAATTTGATATTAATTTTATATATTTTATAAATAATTTCAAAATTTTATATTAATTTTAATATACTAGTATATAAAAAATATAATTTTGCTTATATATAATTTTTAAAATATTATAACATTAACAACATAATATTTTAAAATAATTTTAATAATTTTAATTTAATATTATATATTAAATTTGAAAGAGTTATAGATTATAATTTTAATATTTAAATATATTATATTATAAAGTATATTATTTTTAAATATTAAATAAAATAAGATTTCAAAAATATTATAAAATTTATTTATAAATAATTAAAAATAAATATTAATATTAATTTTTTTAATATTAAAATAATTATATTAAATTAAAAAATTAAGATTTTATAAAAATAAATATATTATTCAAATTTTAAAATTTTAAATAATAATAAAACATTTATATATTATTTTTAAAAATTTATTTTAAAAAAATTTATATTTTATTTTATAATTTGAATATAATTATTATATTTTAAAATTTATAAAATAAAAATATATAATAATTTTTTAATTATTCAATCAAATTTAAATTTTTTTTAAATATATATAATTATTAAATTTTTATAAATATAGGAAAAATATTAATTTTTCAAAATAATATATATTGGTTTATATATATAATTTTGAAATTTAAACTTATTTTTTAAAAAGCTAATAATTCATTCAAATTTTATTATTTTTATTTAAAATTTATATTATTTAAATTTTAAAAATATATTATAATTTTGAAGATTTTAATATCCCTTTCTAATTATAATAATTTGAATTATAATTTAATTAATAAAATTTATATAAAAATTATTAAAAAACTTTCGGTGAGTATTAAAAACTATAATAAAAATTATAATTTAAAATAATTTTTATAAACTTTAATTTAAGATTCTAAAATTAGTATTATTTAAAAGCTTTTTAAGATATTTATAAAATAGTATATTTGCTTTTTATTTAATTTATTTATATAATAATTGGTATTGAATTTAAAGCTTTAAATACCGAATTAATAGTAGATAAGATAGGTAGATAGATAAGGGTAGACGGCAAATAGTGGCAGAATATAGAAAATGGGCCTATTAGATATGCAACAAAAGAAAATAAGGTTTCACTAATAGGCACGTGTGCTTATATAAGTGCTTATATAAGTTCGTATGCTTATATAAGTTCATATACTTATATAAACATATTATCTGATTTTATAACCTATATAATTATTTTAATCTAATATAAAACCTTAACATTAGCTTCAATTATAATATAAATTATACCAATCGAAAGCTCTTGAAAAGCCCTATCGATTAATATAAAAATTATTAATTAAATATATTCTAATATATAGCTATATTAGGCTAAAAATATAGAGTAAAATTAAATGTAATACAAAGATATTTCCAACTAGCATTTCGACCCTAAAGAGGGTGTTTCAAACGTAGTTCCGAAGACCCTAATTAGGGTCGATTCGGGTGCGAGATGGGTGGATTTTTTGGTTTGTGTTCTCGGTTAGTTTGTAGGGGTGGGGGTTAAATTTAAAGGGGTGGATCGGAGTGGAGTGATTGCATTTCTACTACAATATGCAGGGACCTCAAGCGTCTGAAATGACACCGATTTCACTACTGGGATTATATAAGCAATGGTACTAGATTATATCATCAGCGTTACCGGACACCAGCAATAATCGTTACGGTAGCTTAGGTATAAAGGGCAGTGTACGCTGGGTTATTTCAACCAACCATGGGTAATCATAATTGATTATTAAAGTCCTGAATACCATATTATACGATACTGCTGATTGGCTGATTGACTAGTAAGTTGTGCTTGAAAAATAATTTATAATCGTGATTATGGTTGATTTAATTGAAATATTGCGACCTAAGCCCGCAAGGCTCTATGATTTATTAGTGATCGAGAGCCTGAAGCATAACCTATAGAGTTCTGGTATTAGAAAAAAGCAAAAGAAAAGTTCCCAGTCCTCGATTCTGACTAAGTCATTCAACCTCAATCTTCTTCAACTTTAACAACACCAACTCTTCTCGTGTCTATTCCTCATGTACTTTGGATGACCAAAAGTTATATACCCGAACCCGGCCTATCTCAATCTTCAACAATATGCTGTCTGGTTCCACCACAAAGTTCCTCGCTTTCCAACCGTTTCTCCCGTAGCATGACTTCTTTCATTCTCCTCCTTGCCTCGATCGGCCTCACCCGTTGCTGCTGTCATGGGCATGACCGTTTATATTTTGGACTGATTCAAATAACTGTATAATTCTCCTCACGCCAAACAATGTCTGTGATCAAATTCCTGATCAACTGGTTCTTGCCAAGACTCTCTACAGCAGTAGTAACCTTTCCTCAAGGATGCGTTGGTCATGTCATTCTATATCTTATCTTGCTCTGCTTGGAGTACTAAGTATTCTCATTCTACCGTCACCTGGGTCGACTCATTCAAATATATTTTTCCAGGAGGAAACCCAGATGGTCCGAACGTCATCGGTGAAATAAATTCCAAGTCTATTAATGATTAATCTATTACTTGTCTCTGTTATTGTCAATTTTTGCGATAAGACGGGTATCTGATACTTAGTTTGCCTTCACAGCCATACATCTTGGTTGCATTACAGAGGGGTTTCTTGGGCCGATTCCTACACCAAGTCGGCGGTAATCAAATACAGCTTCAAAAATCTGGCTCCAAAACTGAATTTTTCATAGGTATGCATCTTTCAATACCTAGCTTGGCATAGATGAAAGAAAAGAATAGCTTCTGGCCTTCATGATTGCTCAATCCTCTTCATTTCGGCGATGTACATCTATTAGGACTTGTCCATAAACATATCATCGGCATGGGAGTCTTTCCAGCTTCCTCTTAGTAGAGTTTCATAGTTCTACAAGTTTGCTAATTATTATATACGGTTGACTACCAGTGAAATGAAGGAATGAAGGCTGGTGTTGTTGCTGGGTTCTAGGTGCAGATAGGTATGGGATATAATATCAGGCACTACTTTCGAATAAAAAGGATGTTATGGATCGTGAATTGATTGGGGAGTAAGAAGAATTTCATGGTGAGCATGAGAACCTTGATAGTGCTAAAATATCAAGTGGTTGAGGACGCAAATCAAGATGGACAATGGAAACTGTGAGAAATATTGCATTAACTTGTTTACCTAGGTAGGTATCTATGATTCCAATACAGAACCAATCAGAAAAAGGCTCTCATTTTGATGCTCTTACCTAGGTATCTTTTGACTCACTCTACCAAAGTCACAAATGCTAGGAATATTTTGAATATTTTGAATATTTTGAATCATTCTTGTTAAAAAGACTTTCCTACTACCCTTTACATCCATACTCTTGGTCTTGTTCATACTCTACTCTCCCAAATATCACACAACTTTGAAACTTATTTATTTTCTCTACAACAAGAGGTTCTGGCTTTCCCTACCATATTGACAACTCTTTTCTTGGATTAACCTCTAGTAACGAGAGTGATAAGAAAGTTGGTTTCACTTGATTCAAAGCATCCCTATTTGATCTCCAGTATTTACAAATCCGGTATTAGATCGAGATCTAGAATAATGGAGTCTCAAAAGATTACAACTATCAACCCCTTTTTTTGTTCTCCTGGTCAAGAACAAAAAATATCTTCCTCTGTCACAGTTTTGGAGAAAGGAGAAACTCAAGAATTACAGCCAACAGCCAAAGTGACGGGAATCATCCAAACCATTCCAAGACCTCTCACTGTGGCCATCTCAGGATGCACTTCTTCTGGAAAGACAACACTGGCATTGTTACTATCAGAGATCTTCTCCTCTTTCTCAGTTACAAAGGAACCAACAGATAATGACTCTCCACTTGGATCTGAGCAAGTCAATCTGGGTGATTCGCAAACTA